TGTGCATAACTTCAAACAAACAAACAGCCACCCCAGTGGCACAGCGGTATGTCTGCGGACTTACAACGCTAGAAACCGGGTTTCGATACTCGTGGTGGGCAGAGCACAGATAGCCCTTGTGTAGCTTTGTGCATAATTTAAAAAACAAACAAACAAACTTGTTACCTTTTCTCTGTCTTTGTGTCCAAAATGACAATTAAAATGGATGGTCAGGGATTTGAGTGTTTAGTGTTTGTTGTGTTAATTCAAAGAGAAAGTGGCACGTTTCACTGATTGGAAGAAAACCTGAAGAAAGAAAGAAAAAAAAATGATGTTAGTGCGAAGATTGACGCTGAATTCTCGGACTCTTGTTTAATCAAATCGCTTTACATTGCCGAGTAAGATCGTATTTATTTAGTAACTTACATTTTATAAGTTTCCAGCTGAGTTGAAAAGTTTAGAAAGATTACTTTAAGCCTTACCAAATTAGACTGCTTGCCATTAGCGAGAAAAGTCATCCACCATTCAGAACGTTAAACGTTCTCGAAAGTTCCAAACAATATTGACAAATTTAAATAGGAGATCATTTTAATCCTTTCCAAATCAGGCCTCCTGTCGTTGACGAGAAACTCGATCTCTATGGCGATTAGCGAGAAACATTCTGAATTCAAAAGATTAGAATATACGTCTTTAATCTTGTTACTATGTTTATTCAGTATAAAATGAATGTATGTCCAATCAGTTTAAGTCATGTGTATCATTTGGAAGAAAACCAATTAAAATTTCAGGAGCAAAGTTGGAAAAAAAGACAATTCAAACATGCTCTGTTTGAAAGAGATAGGATAAATACAAGAAATTATTCTTCCTCGATGGACAACAAAATTATATCTACCTGTACACTTCCGCGGTGGACAACAAAATCTTGTTTACCTGTCCAATTCCTCGGTGGATAACAAAATTATATCTACCCGTCCACTTCCGCGATGGACAACAAAATTTTGTCTACCCGTCCACTTCCGTGGTGGATAACAAAATCTTGTTTACCTGTCTAGTTCCGCGGTGGATAACAAAAACATATCTAACTGTCTAGTTCCGCGGTGGATAATAAAATTCTATCTACCTGTCCACTTCCGCGGTGGACAACAAAATCTTGTCTACCCGTCCACTTCCGCGGTGGGCAACAAAATTATATCTACCTGTCCACTTCCGCGGTGGACAACAAAATTTTATCTCCCCGTCCACCCACTCATCAGAACGAGCGTGGAAAAATCGTTAGCGTACCGAACTGTGAAACTGGGGATCCATGGCTCGCATTCGTTGGTGAGTTATACGAGTGAAAGTCAAATCCATCCGGGCCCGGCATGGCCAGGTGGTTAGGGCACTCGGCTCGCAATCTGCTGGTCGCGGGTTCGAATCTCCGTCCCACCAGACATGCTCGCCCTTTCAG